ACAGTTATTGGTCCCAGGGTTTAATCGGTCCTATCCGATTTATTATCACCGGTAGAGGTAGATTCTAAGACCTATGATGAACTTGCAGCGTTGTTGAAATTACATTATGCGCCCAAGAAGTTGGTTGTGGCGGAGCGATATGTATTCTACTCTCGTGTGCAAAAGCCGGGCGAAAGCATAGCGGAGTTTGTGGTTTCAATAAAACATTTAGCTAGTTCGTGCAAATTTGGTACCTTTTTGAAAGACGCTTTGAGGGAAAAAGTGATTTCCGGCATTTCTAATGAAACTATCCGGCAGAAATTGTTGTCGGAGGAATTGGACTTTGACGAAGCTTATGCGTCAGCGCTCAGGCTGGAACAGGCCGAATCGCAGTCAAGCCTATTTGTGCAACCTCGTGGGGACATTGCGAAAATCAATGTGAAAAGTCAAAATAGGCCTAAAACTTTCATGCATAGGAGTAGTGAAAATCAAAATTCTAGAAACTCTTGCTGGAGGTGTGGTTCTGCGGGTCATTGGCCTAGTGCGTGTGCGTTCGCCAGTTACAAGTGTCACGGTTGTCAGAGAGTAGGTCATCTCAAGAAAGTGTGTAAAGCCAAGAAATCTTCTAGTTTCCATGGTAAAAAGTCGACACCTAGGATGGGGGTCCATCAAGTGGAGGAAGAGGTAGGCCTAGGCCTAGAAGTTCCAATGGCAGAGATAGGTCTGTACAACCTTAAATCAGGATCAGACAACGGCTATAAGGTAGGCCTAGTGGCTAATGATGTATATTTAGAAATGATTCTAGATACAGGCAGTGCCTTGACTATATGTCCTTCTGAGATATTTTATGAAAAATTTTCTAACCTCAAACTTAGGCCAGCAAATGTGAAACTTACTACTTATTCAGGTCATGATGTACCTGTTCTGGGACAAGTGAATGTCAATGTTAAATATAATAATCAGCAGGCGAGTTTGCCTTTGACAGTAGTTAGTTTAGAAAGTAAGAGTCAGCCGATTCTGTTGGGGCGAAACTGGTTAGGCCAGTTGAGGTTAGATTGGCAAAATGTGTTTTCATGTAAAGCCACTGTGGATCACAGTTCTGATTTGGACATTGCTAAATTGAAGAGTAAATTTAAGTCAGTTTTTCAGCCTGGAACGGGCGAAATTAAGGGTGTTAAGGCTCATATTGTCTTAAAGGAGGGGACAGTCCCTAAGTTTTGTAAGGCGAGACCAGTGCCTTTTGCGTTAAGGGAGAAAGTTGAGAGTGAGTTGGACCGCATGGTTCAAGAGGATGTTGCGTACAGAGTTACTAATTCACAGTGGAGCACTCCACTTGTGGTTGTCCCTAAGCCTAATGGTGTTAGGCTTTGTGCCGATTATAAGATTACTCTTAATCAGTGTATTGAAATGGAACATTATCCGCTTCCACAGGCTCAAGATATTTTTGCAACTCTAGGCGGTTGCTCAGTTTTTAGCTGCCTTGATCTTTCAAATGCGTATCAGCAATTGGCGGTAGCGGATGAATCGCAACATCTGTTGACCCTAGCTACCCATAAGGGTCTGTATCGTTTAAAAAGGCTACCATATGGTTTGTCTTCAGCTCCTGCAATTTTTCAGTCAGCCATCGACCAAATTTTAACAGGTCTTCCAGGAACGGTGGCGTACTTAGATGACGTCTTAGTGGCGGCTCGCTCTAAGGAAGAGGGGCTTGCCCGTCTGGCGCAGGTGCTGCAACGCCTTGATGAGTTTGGTGTTCGAGTAAACCAACAAAAGTGTAAGTTTTTGCAATCTTCAATCGAGTATTTAGGACATGTGATTACTCGAGATGGTCTCCGTCCACAAGAAAGTTTGTTAACTGCGCTGCGTAAAGCGCCTGAGCCTAGTACTAAGGAAGAGTTACGAGCCTATATTGGTCTAATAAATTATTATCATGCATTTATACCTAACCTGTCTGCTAGAATAAGCTGTTTTTATGACTTATTACATAAGGATCATCCATGGGTGTGGTCGGAGGTGTGTTCTAAGACTTTTCAGGAGAGTAAATCATGGGTGTTGGACTCAAGTTTGTTAGTTCACTATGATGTTAAAAAGCCCATAGTTCTGACATGTGATGCGAGTCCCAGAGGGGTGGCTGCTGTTCTATCTCATCTTATCGATGGTCAGGAAAGGCCAATTGCCTTCGCATCGAAAACGCTAAGTTCCAGTGAACGGAATTATTCTCAGTTACATCGGGAGGCTCTGGCTTTGATCTTTGGAGTCAAAAAGTTTCATAAGTATATATATGGAAGACACTGTATTCTACAGACTGATCATCAGCCGTTGACGGCTATTTTTGGCTCTAAAAAGGGCGTTCCTAGTATGGCGGCAGCTAGGCTGCAGAGATGGGCCTTGATTCTATCAGCATATGATTTGGAGGTTAGGTACCGGAAGGGAGTGGATGTCCCTCACGCTGATGCGTTGTCTAGGTTACCCTTAGCAGAAGCGGAACCTATAGAGCTGGATGCTAATTTTGTTTCACATGTAGATATGTGTACAGAAGTGATGAACAATTTCTGTGTTGTCAAGGACATTGCACCTATTACTGCCTTGCATATAGGTAAAATGACGGATAAGGATCCGATTCTTTCGAAGGTCCGAGATTTTGTGATGTACGGCTGGACGAGCTCGGTTGAGCCAGAACTAGCTATTTTTCTAAGGAAGAAGGACGAGTTGTCCGTGGAACAAGGTTGTTTGCTGTGGGGTTCTCGTGTAGTGATTCCAAAGAAACTGTATTCATCTGTGCTTCAAATGTTGCATGATCAACACCCGGGAGTTACACGCATGAAGATGCTGGCGAGAAGTTATGTCTGGTGGCCAGGCATGGAGAAGTCGATTGAAGACGTGGTGGCCTCTTGTTCTGCGTGTCAGTTAACTAGGAATTCGATACCTAAAGTACCGTTGCAGCAATGGCCTACAACATCAACCCGATGGCAGAGGATACACATTGACTTTGCGGAGGATCCAGAGTCGAGACAGCAACTTTTAGTTTTGATTGACACATACTCTAAATGGTTAGAGGTATTTATCATGAGTTCCATGAATTCTTCCAAGGTTATTGAGAAACTCCGTACCTTGTTTTCATCGTATGGATTGCCTGTCGAACTGGTGTCGGACAACGGAAGATCTTTTACTAGTCAAGAGTTCAAAACCTTTTTGCATAACAACAATGTGAAGTTCACATTAACTCCCCCGTATCATGCGGCTTCAAATGGATCTGCGGAGAGAAGTGTTCAGGAGGTCAAGAAAAACCTTTTGCGTCAAGTGATTGAGGAACATCAGCGTTCTCAGCGTACCACTCTTCAAATGAAATTAGATAATTTCTTGTTTGCGTACCGCAACACTCCAAATACAGTTACTGGCTTAACCCCTGCAGAAATGTTCCTGTCTTGGAAGCCTCGTACTCAGTTGGTTATGTTAAAACCCAATCTCCAGTCATCCATTGATCAAAAACACAGGGAACAAAAAGATGCAGCTGATAGGCTTAGGGGAAGAAGCAGATTTTTCTCAGAAGGTCAGGCAGTCTATGTCAAAACTGTCCGAAATGAAAAGATATCTTGGGTTCCTGGCAAAATAATTCTAAAGAGAAGTCCGGTTACCTATCTGGTGAGTGTTATTGGTGGAAAACCCCGATTTTGTCATGCGGATCACTTGAGAGCTCGGTATGCAGAAGAGGAGGAGATTTTTGTATCACCCAAGGATCCCGTTGTATCACCCCAAGTACCCAAGAATTCACCCCCGCCGGAGGATCGACCAACTAGTCCCATGATGATGTCACCTGTACCTAGGCCTACTACCAGTCCCAGGGAGAGCCTAGGGCAAGCCCAGCCTCAGCCAACTCCTGCGTCGCCGCTAGCACAGTGCAGCCCACCACCCTCGATGAGGAAGTCTGCACGGACTGTGCGAAAGCCTCACAGGCTGGACTTGTAAAATTATTAATGAATAATGGGAAGAAGAAATTTTGATTGCATTTTATTGAAAGTGAATTTATTTTATTTTGAAAATTGAGTTAATTTTGAATTTATGATATTGACTTTTTTTATGGGGAAGACGAGTGTAGTAGAAGTCATTATAGTTTCATATATGAACAGTCATAATTATTAGTAACGGAAGAGTTATTATGTTTTGCGGGGTGGCTGCACTGTGCACTGGGCCCTGAAGTGGGATGATTCGTCACGGCTCCTTCTTCTATGTCCACCAACGAACGTAAGTGGTTCTCTTGCTATATCGTCCACTTTTCTAGCGTAATGTTAGGTTACGACAAAATATACTAAAAATTAGATTGTTGAGTAAAGATAGAACTCATAGTACAAGATAGAACAGCAACTTTGGTCATTGGCCTTTTTAATGTTTCATGTGTGGTTGATACGATGGACGCACCTGTCCATCACAATCTGGGTAGGTTTGTGATACTCTTGTATTTCTTGGGCTGTGTTCATCAACAATGAAGGCTAAATCTCCCAAGTTTTGGTGGATTGGTTGTTGAGTGCCATTTACAAGAGTATTTCAATTTGTGTTTGGTTGAAACAAGGATTTTTTTATGTTGAGAATCATAGTATGGGTGTAGTTTGTTTAAGAGATGTTTACAAGATTTTTGCTTTTGAATAATTGTGTGAAAAATGTACTGTTAAAACTTTTAACTGATTGAATTTGTTTTTGAAGGTTTCATAATATTATAATTCCCTAACTATTATGATTGCAATTTTCTGAAGTTTGTAGATCCTAGATTCAAATTTGCCATTGCAGTTTACCCATAAAGGTACAAGATATAAGATAAATGTGAATGGATATTAGCAAAATATATGCTATTTTGCTGTTCAAAAACCATAGGCCTAATAAGTTATTCTAGAGAGTGAATATACCACTTAGTGGCTTGAACCTAATTTTGATTTGAGTTAAATCCAACATATTCATCTCGGCTTAAATTTTAGTCTCCATTCACAAATACTAAAGTAAATGAATCATGCTAACTTAAAGAGAATCACCTCTAGTTGGCGCAGATAGCAGTATATTTCATTAGCATATTCAGAAACCAAAAAGGGTTTCCCGGCATCCTCTTTGTCTATGTCAACAACGTTCTCCAACGGCTGACCAACATCTGGCTTCTGAACTTGTGGGATACATTTGTTCTCCTCCTTTTTCAACCCCAAACCGCGTCCTGTTTGTAATGGTTTGGCCACAGGTTTTGTAGCGGGCCGTGGTAGCTTGCTTAATGACTTCTCAATCGTTGGCTTCACCGAAGGTTCCCTAAAACATTGAAACATTTTATGAATGACATTAAGGAACTTTGACAGCACAACCTAACCAAGCTTACACAAATTAAGTGAAGTTCATAAAAAATCTTATTCTAAAAGATACATGCTGTTACACAACATTCATATTGAACAACTCAATGAACTAATGTAATGATACACACAATTTCAAACATAATGGAAAACATGTAAAAAACTTAAAACCCATCAGTGGATCGGAGGAACAAAGAGGTTGGAAACCTTAAACATTCTTCTAGTAGCAAGAAAAGTGGGTTTACAAATAAATGAAAACAAAACCAACTACATGAAAATAAGTAGGCAAGATGACGAGGAAGACTACTTAGAAGTATAAGTATTTGGGAGTGATGATCACAAACAATAATAGAGAAGAAATAGAAATTCAGAGCAGACTCACAGCAGCAGAAAGATCATACTGGAGTTTAATAAAATTATTCAAAAGCAAACTGCTATCAAAACCACTAAAATAAGAATGTATAAAACTATAGTACAACCTGTATTGCTATACGGGTCAGAAACTTGGTCTTTTACCAAAAAATCCCAGAAGCGCCTTATTACTTTTGAAAACAAAATTTTGAGAAGAATTTTTGGACCAGTAAAAGAAGGAAATGCATGGAGGATAAGGAAAAATAGAGAGTTAAAAGAATTATATGGTGAACCAGATATTGTGGGAATAGTTAAAAGTAGGAGGTTGAGATGGATGGGCCATATTAACCGTAGAAGTGAGAGAGAGATGGTAAAGATGGTACTGAGAGGTATACCAGAAGGAAGGAGACCATTAGGTAGACCAAGAATGCGATGGGTTGATAAGGTGACGAAGGACTTGAGAGGAATGGGAGCAGACTTAGAGCTGGCAGAGGATAGAAGAACTTGGAGGCACATGGTTGGCGAGGCCAAAAACCACCTAGGTTTCCAATGGCCACAGGAGTAAGTAAGTACTCTCACTGGGAGTCCCTGTTGTGATGCAGGGGTTGATGTGTTCTTTGCACTGCTAATGGATATTCTCAATGGGTCGTGAGAGCTACCACTTTTGAAGTGCGGCAATGACGCAGAGGTTGGGCACTGCATTGCGATGGGCAACCCCTGGACCATCTTGTATCCATTGCTGGGCAAATGATTTGTCCCCAAGGATATAACTGTTCCTGACTGGTTTGTGGGCCAACAATTTCCGCACAATGCGCTGGAAAACACTTGTCATGGATTGTTACAAACCCCCCCCCCCCAACACATTATTGAGCCCCCTTCAAGTTCACAAGGAGTTCAGAATGGAGTGGTCATCAGAAAATCATGACAATATAATTGTAGACGTAACCTCTCGTGCCTATCATGGAGTGCATCACACCGAAGAACAGCTCCATGGGGTTTAAATTCCAAAGTCGAGATAATCATTAAAAACACGAAGAAGGTCCACACTAACGTTAACCTGCCTAACAGGTATGATCTCTCCAAGGCAAAGGACCACATTGACTGTGTTCTTGACATGAAAGGCTTGATGAGACAGGCTCTGGTTAATGAACGGGGGCTTGTGAACCGAGCTTAGGCCCCAAAACCGATCAAAAACAGAGAGGATCAGAGGAAACGGGCAAGGCCCTTGCAAACAGGTGGCTGGTATCTTTGGAGTTGGTCAACCACTCCCGATTAAATGTTGAGCAAAAAGTTGAGGACAGGGTCACCCAGAAGACACTTCCTACGCCCGAGCATACTGGGACAGATTGTCCCACTCCAAACAGCGCCTAAGAAGCAGCACTAAGAAGACATTGCAACACCATCAATGAGGGTAACTGGGGAAAGAAGCTCACCCATAAAGGAAGGAAGAAGCTGAGGCGAACTGACAATGATTTGGCAGCTAAAGACCAAAAGGTAGCTGGTCCTACTCCGTAAGGGAAGTACAAGGGAAGGCCACCTTGAGGCAAAGAAACACAGGCCGGGAAAGCCCTGGAGGGCTGAGGTAATCCTGATCAAGCTCTGAGGAGGGAAAATCTTTTGCTGAAGTCTTTGGTGAGCTTAAGGAATACAGACAAGCTGAATGTTGTCAAGTTCACCAAGGTAATCTAACAGGTCTCTACAACAAATGTTCCAAACAAGCCCAGAAATACTACTTTTTGAAAAGAAATATTTTTATGTTAAAAACAGTTTTAGTGTTAACAACAGAAATTTTGTTTCCCACCAGAAGTCGGTAAAGATCAAAGGGTGTTCCAAACATGAGGAAAGATTTGTTTTGGACTTCTACGCTGTTTACATTGTATAGATTATATATTGTAACCTGACATATCCAATGTATTCAAAAGAATATCTAATGGAAATAAAGATCTTATCATATCTTATAACACTTCCTTGCTACCCCCAAGCCAACCCACCACCAGTTGACCACGCACCGCGCCCTCAGCGTCAGCTGATGTCTCGGGAACGGTGATTAAATTGTTTCCAACCAAATCAAAGAAAAGTGCACGATCTGTTGAAAAATACGGCTTAAGGCAGCGTCCAAGCATTAGGGAGACACAAATTTGGTTCCTCTTCTACCTGATTTACGAGGGGTGTTCAATAAAGACTGACAGTAGCTTACTTGTAAACAAACAAAGTCAAATAATTAGTTTTTAGCGAATTTCCCTATAGGGAAGTAGCTATTACCGTAGGTCTCATGGTAAGACCTAGGCCCGGGACCGATTTACTTTTTCATTTTGATGTCCCCAGAGGCCAAACACACCATTCGTTCAAATTTTTATATATCTATATATATATATATATATATATGTGTCCATCCGATAACTTGAGTAATTTTTGTCCGATTTTGATGAAATTTGGTTTAAAGGTGTAAGGCGGGATAAACTTGAATGAGTTCGCGAACCAGCATGATCGGACCATGGGAACGGGGTTTTATGGGGTAAAAATTGGTTTTTCTCATTTTTGACCCCTAAAACACAAAATTTCCCAATTTATCTCTAGACCATATTAAAGAGCTTAAAAAAACAAATAATTTAGTATATCAAAGTGTTTTTGTACGGTTATTGGTAACGGAGAAAATTCAAAAAATTGTAAATGAAAAATTCCCATGTTATTCTTATGGAGAATATTGAAAATGTTGTAGTTAGTTTGTTTATGGATATATTTTGATCAAACTTGGCAAATTTATTTATTTTATACTAAGCTAAAGCTATTAATATTTTACTAAAACACACTTTACTAGTTTTAACTTCCTTGTGGCAGCAAACCTAGGTACTCGTTAAACCTAATGTTATTTAAATAGATTTAATTGAAAATCATTCAGAGAAATGGAAATTCGCTTAGTCGGCAGGTTTGCTGTGGCGGGGGTATTTATAAGTTGGCATGAAAGATCGAAGTATTAGCAACCGAGAAATCAGCTGTTAACATCATAGCATTGTTGCATTGTTGTCATAGCATCCGATTCATAAACAGTTGCACATTTTTGCCTCTAAGGTTTACTATGGCTGATTTTCGTGAGCAAAGATATGCGATAAAGTTTTGTGTAAAATTAGGGAAAAGTGCTACGGATACTTACAGCGACTTGAAAAAAGCTGATGCAATGAGTGAAAGAACCTGTTTTAGGTGGCATAGAGACTTTAAATATAGACGGGAATCATGTGAGTTGGAAGGTGGGCCTAGTGCGGCCTTGGCCTGGCGCCCCTGTTTCTGCCCTTACCGAAGAAACAATCAACACTGCGGGTGTTATGATTCACACTGATCCACATTTGACTATTAGACAGCTGCTATACTGCTCGATATATCAATTGGCAGTGTCCATACACTCATGCACGATCATTTGAATATGACTCGTGTCTGTGCCCGTTGGATACCACGTCTGTTAACACCAGTTCAGAAACAAATTCGCGTTGAAATTTGCCAACTTTGGTTACAGTGCGTGCGTCGAAAAGGTGATGCATGTTGGAAAAACATTATTACTGCTGATGAAAGTTGGATTTATTGTTATGATCCTGCAACAAAACAACAGAGTACAGAGTGGGTGGAAAAAGGTGGACCAACGCCAAAAAAACCTCGTGCTCAAAAGTCTGCTGCAAAGGCAATGGTGATTACGTGCTTTGATTATCGTGGTATGGTGTACACCCATACTGTACCACAGGGTCAGACAATTAATGCGGAGTACTACATTTTAGTATTGAAGCAACTAATGAAAGATCACATCCCCAAAAAACGGCCTGACCTTGTTGGACGCTGGAAACTGCATCATCATGACAATGCTCGCCCCCATGTTACCAATACTGTGCTTCAGTTTCTAGCCAAAAAAGAAGTCGAAACTGTGCCACATCCACCCTACAGCCCTGACTTGGCTACAAATGACTTTTTTCTCTATCCTCAGGCCAAAAAGGAGCTCAAAGGCCGCCTTTTTTCAACTACTATTGCCACTATTAAGGCTTTAGAGGCGATTTTGAAGGTCCTGGCAAAGGAGGGCTTTGAACACGTCTTCAAGGAGTGGCAGAGGCGCTGGGACAAGTGTGTGACTTTAAATGGTGACTACTTAGAAGGAGATACAAGTGTGAAAGTATAAGCTTTTATATTAAAGGTATTAAAAGAGTACCGTACTGTCAGTCTTTATTGAACACCCCTCGTATTTCCAAAACAATTTATCATGAATAAAAAAAACACATAAATATATTATTATTATCCTCAAGCTCATAAACCTTTGCTGCTAAAAAGGAACTTTCCTGTGACAAAAAAATAAAAACAAATTCAAGATTACTTAGATTTTCATGTTCTAATTCTCAATTTATTTTAATTTAACGGTTGTTAACATTCCAATAAAATACATTTCTTTTGCAACCTCGTCTCAGTGAGAAGCACTTAATTTATAAACAACTGTGCCAAATTTTGTAATTTTAAGTACAAACACTCAAAGTGTGTCTAATCACCGTACATTTTAAAAAGGTGTTCCACCACTATAAGCAGCAGTTACCACTTGCCCATATGAGTGGTGGGGGATTGGCTTCCCTGCCCGTAATTCTTGCTGGATATACCCAGGGTAGACGTTATGACAGCAGGCTCCACACAAGGCGGCTGCGATTGGGGTCGGCTCTCGGGCCTAGCAATATCACGCATGTAAATACAACAATACAACCACTAATTTTTTTGATTTTTTTTTTTGCACCCCCCCCCTTAATCAAAAGCCAAAACTGCCTTGCAACCTAGGCGCATGACTACCGTGCCTATTCGGTAAATCAGCCCTGAGGATACAATAATTGATGTACTGGTATAAATTAAATGAAAGCCCAAAACTTACAGGCAGACAGAGAACCAAGCACTTTGGCCCCATGTTACAAACTATTTTTATTAGCCCAACCTAAGGAACATATAACAGTTTTCTAGGAAGTTTTTGTGTACGCATGATGGGTTGTGCAATTACATTACAGTTAGTAAGTAACTTAACTTGAAATTGTTACAAAGGCCTAGAAACTTAATCTGCGTTTTTTTTAAGTCGGATAGCCCCTTTGAATTAATGTGAAAAGGATACTTTTATAAACTTATCCTAGGTAGCCTACTGACTTGATTTTAGAAGCAGCAGCTTGAAAAGTCGGTTTAGTTGGTCCTTCTTTCTTCTTTGCATCTTTGCCCCTGTTAAGTATTCCCAAGGAGTTTGTTGCATCGCCAAGGGCTGCACGTTTTGTTGTCAGGGAAGTTGTATTAGCTTTTGATCTCAAGACACCAGTGTTTTCTTGGTCCACCCCTCTGACCTGAAAGATAACACATTGATTGCAAATACCAAACGTATTTAAACGTGGGACACACTGCCATTTCGAGTAAATTTTAAATAACTTAGCCTAAGTTTAACTTAAAAGTTAACAGTTACGAAATTTGAATGAACCCAAATTTCTATAAAATAGCCAACCAGGGTACAGTTCTGCAGAGAACCTGCAGTATGTTAGAGCTCGTGCGTTTCCTGGTGAAGCCTGGGGGTAGGGTTGATTTTAATTTGGTTCAATATAGGCTAAATATTGCTTCTAAAGTAATATTTTTCTTCGATATAAACATCTGAGTAAGTTAATGATCTACTATATAAGTTGTTATTAATGTTTAATGAATGAAACTATCAATAAACATATTCAACTAAATACCCTGCCACAGCAAACAAAGCGAATTTCCAATGCCTGATTGGATTTTCAATTAAATCTATTTTTTTATAAATAATGTTATGTTTAACAAGTAGGTAGGTACTAGATTTGCTTCTACAGGGAGGGTAACCTAAATAAGGTGTTTTTTTTTAGTAAAATATCAATAGCGTAGTATAAACTAAATTAATTGCCATGATTGATCAAAATATATGTTCGTAAACAAGCAAACTACTTCAGTTTACTTATTCTCCATAAGAATAACTTAGCATAGTAATTTTAAATTTAGGATTTTTTTGGTTTTTTCAGTACATTAACCAATAAAACCAAAAAACTCTTCAATATAGGCAGGTACTAAATGATTTGGGTTTTAAGCTCTCTAAAATGTTTTAAAGAGAAATTGGAAAATTTTGTGTTTTGAGGGTCAAAAATTAGAAAAACAAATGTTTACCCATAAAACCCTGTTAAAGCAGGTTCACAAACTCATTTAAGTTCATCCCGCCTTAGACACATTCAAGCCAAATTTCATCAAAATCGGACCAAAATTACTCAAGTTTTCGCGTTTTTGCCTGGACATATAGATAACTTGTATACATATACAGTATACAAATTTGAACAAGTGTTTTTGGTTAGGTTAGGTTAGGTTAGGTTATACACGGTTTAACTTACGTGATCAACGGAGCTTTTTCTAACAGCAAGTTAAAACGGATGACAGAGTTGATATCTTTTTGTGCAAACTTTATGCTAGAACATATTGCAGGACAGGTTGCTAAAAAAGAAAGTATCTATCTGGATTGTTTAGGTTATGGTTTCTCACACAGGGTAATAGCAAAATGTGCTTTTGGTATTGAATGCGACGAATATGGGGTCAAATAGTTCATAGTGCATGTGAAAAAAATTTTTCTCAAAATGAAAGTTGTCCACATGATCATTTTATCACACATATATACTCCTCGAAACCACAAAACAATTGACCTTTTAATGATCAAGATGAATCTTAATACCCCCGCCGTAGCAAACCTGCAGACTAAGCGAATTTCCATTTGCCTGATTGGATTTACACTAAAATGTCTCTTTAAAAATATCACATTTATTCCCTATTTAAATAGTTTAACAAGTACTTAGGTTTGCTGCAACAGGGAGGGTGTAAAGGTGTTTTTTTTTTTGTAAAATGATAATAATTTAGTATGAAATGAATGCATTTTCCAAATTTGATCAAAATCTTACTAATATTATAAATGTGAAAGTTTGTGTGTTTGTTTGTTTGTTTGAAGTTCAATCACGCATTAACTACTGAACGGATTTGGCTGAAATTTGGCATGATGTTAGCTCACATTCCCGATTAACATATAGGCATATCCTTTTCTCAAAAATCCTTTCGGGCTCCGCCCCAGTGGCTCTGTAGTTCCCCATGTTAACCTTATGAGTATTCAAATTTAATGAGAATTAAAGAATTTAGTCAGCTGTTTCAACTAAAAAAGTTGTTTCTATGATATGCAAAAGCATTAAAAAGTTATAAGATTTACCAACAGGGTGCAGCACTATTATTTTTTCCCATTTATGAAAACAGCTAATTTGATCTAAGCAGCAACAAAAAACTGTGATACGCAATGAGAACTGTCAAAGTAGGATTGTTTACAATTGTGTTTATGTTTTTAATTTCATGAATTATTTATGATGATATTTTGTGAATTTTAAAAATTTATTTTTCTCTATTGTTTAGGATAAGTGGTAGAACATTATGGCTATAGTAGATGTGTATTACTATAGTATACCGTAATTTTAAAGAGAAAATTGTACCAAACTGTGTCCTGCCCCATTCCAGACGCAAAGCTTGAGTATAATAACTGCAATAAGCATTTTATACTCGATGCCAACCCCGTACGAAGGACGGGTACTCAGCTAGTATGTTCATAAACAAGCAAACTACAACAGTTTAACTTACTTATTCTCCATAAGAATAACATGGAAATTTTAAATTTACAGATTTTTGGAATTTTTTCTGTAGGCCTAACCATTAGGCGCATAATAACGCTTCAATATACTAAATTATTTGTTTTTTTAAGCTCCACAAAATGGTTTGGAAAGCTAAATTTTAAGTTTTTAGTGTCAAAAATGGGAAAAGCCTATTTTTACCCCATAAAACCCCGTTCCCATGGTCCGATCATGCTGGTTCGCGAACTCGTTCGAATAAACGTAGGTTTACACGTTTGTACCAAATGTCATCAAAGTCGGATGATTTTTGCTCAAGTTATCGCACTAATGGACACATATATAGGCCTATATGAATTTGAACGGAAGGTGTTTGGCCTCTAGGGACCTCAAAACGTAAAAGTAAATCGGTCCCGGGTCCAGGTCTTACCATGAGTACTACGGTAATAGCTTATTCTCTATAGGGGAAATTCGCAAAATAAAAGGAATTTAAGTCTTGAATCTTTACAAGACAGTGATGATTTATAAGTTTAAAAGTTAATGATTTATAACTGAACCACTTTTAGTGAACTAAACTAGGTACCGGTATTTTATAGTTTACTAAGTTAAAAGAGTTTGTTTCGAAGTATTTGTGGGAAGGTATGGGGGTTGGTTCGGCAGATTGGTGACACCCAAACTCCAACTCTCACTTGTTAGCTGCGAAGAGCTACCTTCTGCCACTGGGTGTTGGTCCACCTACAGAACCAAGTGAGGGAGCCCTAGACTAAGGTGTAATGCGATCCGTGCTGAGAGTCTCGTGGCACTGGGGGCCTAATATTCAGTGTCTTAATGGAGCCCTTCTGGGAACCCAGTCGTATGTACCCCTTACCTCTCTGATCGGGTCACTGGGGAGGTGCACCTCAGATAGGCTACCCGGTAATCGTGGGAACAACGTAGACGACCTGACCCCAATGGAGGAGGAAGGTCTACTGAAATCTGATTTTCCAGGGGCGATGGTGTGGTTTTAAATGATACTCTGCGAAAAGAACTGGCAAAAAATGATATAACAGTATCATTAAAGATTACAAACAAGCTGTCGTCATTGATCAGAGTCAAGAACAAGTCCCACACTGATAACAACAACAAAACCGGAATCTATAGATTAAAATGTGACAATTGTCCCAGCTTTTACATAGGACAACCTGCCAGATCTTTCACAACCCGATTTAAAGAGCACCTACCAAAAAAGAATTCTAAATGAGCTTTTTCCAACCATCTAACAACTACAAACCATAACTATACAGACATTCACAATAATCTAGATATATTACACTTTTGCAATAAAGGACGCCATATGGACACAATAGGATACGAAATATATAAGTTAAGGCATCAAAAGAACAACCACATCATATTTTGAACGAAAAACAGTCCTTTGAGTCTAATATAATTTACAACACAGCCATTCTGTAATCTGATTACCAAACCAAGGAAAGAAAAGTTAAGGATAGAACAGGGGTAGGGGACAGGGGTCAACGCTGCCGACACGTGATAGTCGCGACTTATCCATCACCAGTGTGTGTATTGCTTTCTCAAAGTGAACCTACCCCTTAATATTGACTTGGCAGATCCTAAGTAGGGATCCCAGACGTCCTCTTTTTCCCGGACACGTCTTCTTTTTGGGTACAAAAAAAAACGTCCGGGGGGATTTTTGGCAATACTTTCAAATGTCCGGGATTTTGAATTTGTGAGAGAATAAAAAAATATTTCTGCAAGTATTAATATTAGCAATCAGCTTTTATAAGAAATCGTCATCATAACATTAAACTAAGTTAAAATACTACACTTTAATAACATCTTACGTATAAAAGTGTCATTTCCTCTTTCTTTAGGTCAAATTTCGTGTATAACGTACGCTAGAAACCATTGGAAATACTGTAGAACCAAACGGAACGGAAGGCGAACAATGGGTTTCCTGCTTTGCCTTACTCTGCTGACTGTAAACTATTAACTTTGCTCACTAGTAGCCAGTTTGCCAGGCCAGTAGCATACTAGCGACCGTCGGCCCGGACCCCCCCCCCCAAAAAAATATTTTATATATAAGTAGATAAACTATTAAACCAGGGGAACTTTAATAATTTTTATTGCAAATAAAGTTCTACAAATAACGTTCTACCAAATTGAATTCATGTAGTCTTTACACTTGTGGCAAACGAGTGGACTAATTACAAACTCTAACCCAAACCTCGGGATCGTTCGAGTCTGACAATTTTTTGTACATTATGAAAAGTAGGGAAGATCGTCAGACGACGGACGCTTTCAGCGATATACGGCAACGGCAGTGTCCGATGCTGGCGTTCGACTGCATTCTTCTTATTTAATTTTTCGGCCATTATTATTTAATTTGATGTTACCATTAATTTTAACCTAGATGGTTGAAAACTTCCATTGGGTAGGTATTGGATAAAGAAAAGAAGTTGTATCAAAGTCCAAGCTTAAAGGGTAATTGAATATTAATTTATCTAAACTAGGTCCTCAAAATAGCTTAAAAACTACTAATTTTAGCACGTTAATTCCAAAATTTTCCCAGGGGAGAACCCCCAGACCCCCCTTCTTTGCTGGGGGGTATTCAGGCCCCCCCCCCAAAATATATGTAGACCGCCCTTGGTGAGTAATTTTGTCCTCTTTTTTGATGGAGGGTCCCTGGGAACCCTAATCCTAAGTTACACACCAATTTTACAAGTTAGCCAAGGCCTATCTATATCCATTGAGCTGTCAAAAGTCAAGTTCCAAGATGCTGTCTATTTTATATAAAGTAAGAAAGAGTAATTTCGGGTAGTTAATTTTCAGGCTTATCTGAAATTCCAGTTACAACCATTTACTTTCCTGTCATTTCTTGAAAAACTACTTCAAGCTAGAGTAGCCTAGACCTACCTAAGGTCTTTAAATATTGAACTTGCTTTGCTTGTTGCATTATGCTCTTTTACCAGTACAAACATACGTCTTGAGATAAAAATTATAGATAGCCTTAGTTAGGCTAACTTATAATAAGAAGGGAGAGACGTAAGCTAATTATTATTAAAAGTTAGGATAGGAGTCCAGTTAAAATAACACACGGTGGTAACTTACCGCGTTCATATTACGGGTTCTGAGGGCCATTTTAACACCAGTTCAGTATCAATTGGAATGTTGTTAATTACTTATTTATTTTGAAAATATTCTTGGTATAAAGATTTATATGAATGTATTAATCGTTAAAATGAATTTAAATTGAAGAGGTACGTTACGAAAGTTAGTTGAAACAAAATGGAGGTAACGTTTTGAGTTTAAAATAGTGTTTGGTATCGATATCCGATATATCGGAAATATCGATATTTTGGTTCCGATATATCGATATTTTTATATCGATATTAAACTTCCGATATTATCGGGGTATCGATATTTTACTTCGATATTATCGTTAGAATTGATTTTAGCAATTTTTTAAAGAATAATGCAAGAATAAAATACAGTTTAATCTTTTCTGAACTTGTGTAGCAGTTATTAAATATTATTAATAACAAATTTATTTGTACACACACACTATTCCATGTATCTAGTTAAATATATTTTTGTAATCTGGTTGCCTCTGCCTGCATTTGAATAGTGAGTTGGCACGGTTGGCAGAAGTGGAGTGCCAAAATGACGTGACGGCAGTGAAAACCAATAAAAACCATTAAATTCTGTATATTTTTTTGTACGCAAGCCTAAAAAATTATAAATTGTAAACAATTTAACGTCATATGTGTGCATCTAACTGTTCATGGTGGTACTTTCCTGTTAAAGGGAACATTCATTATTATCGATTATTTCTTTTTGAATATCGATATTTTATTTTTCTATCCGATATATTGATTATAACAAATTAAAACATATCAGCTGACAACTTAGATAAGGATAGGCTAAATAAATATTGTTCAGTATTAACAAAGGTACTTTCCTGCTAAAGGGACATTTTTATATCAATGATTTCTTTTGATGACATATCGATATTTTTTTTACCAAACCGTCTGTATATATTCCTTTGTTTTAATATCTTCAAACGCATTTAAAAACAAATTAAGAACTAACCTTGTTTAGGCAAAAATAATAGCCTATATCTGGATTAGGAAAAGAAACTATTCAACCTAACATAACCAAAGCCAACCAAACTTACTATAGTATAGGCTAAGTTACCGTTTCAAAATTCCGTTTGATTACAGAAAATGCATATGGGGAATAGGCTAGCAAACGAAATTTTGAAATAATACAGCAAGCTTGGTTGGTTAGGATAGTTTAGAATAGGTTCATTTCAATAATATTTTTTTTAAATTGTTTGTTAAGGTAATTTCCTGTTAAAGGGATGCATTGCGATAGCATTCCGATTCCATTAATTTTTAACGATATTTTTCCGATATATCGATATTTTTGGTCCGATATTATCGGAATATCGATATTGAGGCTCCGATATTATCGTCGATATAAGTATCGATATTTTCTTTCGATATCCCAACACTAGTTTAAAATCTTGCTTGCTAATCTTGCTATTGGTCAGAGGCTACAATGAATAGAAAATTGTTTTTCTAATGCAGTCGATAATAGAAGCAGTACTTAAAACATTCGAAGTAAGCGAATACTGTATTAAGTGCATATCTTCTCGGTTTACATAATATGACCGTTTTATCAATTCTGAGTCATGAATATTCTAAATCTATATTTCCATATTTGGAATATAATCACTGATGGTAAAGGTTTATGTAAAAAAATGAATCGTGAAAATAAATTAAAGAATCTCACTTATATAATGTTGGATTTTTTACTTATTTTCACAATTATTAACAAAGCAATCAAACCATGGACAAAAACTTTTATAATCAATAAAGCAGGAAACCCACTAGTCCGACGCTCCCCGACACGACACCTTCCGTCAAGTCTCCAACACCTTCCGCAATTTTAAGGCATTAACCCACGGTCCGACGGGCTCCGACGGTAGGCCTCCGACGAGAAATACACTACCACTCAGTTAACAGTGCCAGTTGCGATGGAACAAAGGATCGCATACTGTTCACAAGCAGTAGTTACGGAGCAAATAATGAAAAAAGTCCATAACATTTATGACGATCTCTGTTAATATGAGAGATTGCAATGGTACAAAACGTAAAAAATAATACCCCCGTCGCAGCAAACCTGCCAACTAAGCAAATTTATATTTACCCAAATTGATTTTCAATTAAGTGTATTTAATTAACATTAGGTGTTATGCGTACCTAGGATTGCTGCTACAGGGAGGGTAAAAAAGTGTGGTTTTTAGTAAAATATTAATAACTTAGTATAAAATAAAGAAATTTACCAAGTGTGATCAAAATATATCCATCAGAAAGCAAACTTACAATATTTTATAATATTCTCCAAAAGAATAAAATGGGAATTTAAAATAAAAATTCTTTGAATTTTCTCCGTAACCAATAATTGTACAAAAACACCACACTCTTGTGATCACATGTTATATATCCGTTCCACATATTGTGTTCACACACAAAGCTAGACAGTCAATCTAGGCCTAGTGCACGCAGAGTGAAGAAATGACGGAACCGACATCCGACAAGAATGCCCCAGAGAGCAATGTTGTCGTGACGTGTCGGATCGGAAGGTGTCGTGTCTGACTAGTGGGTTACAGTCCATTTAAAATAATGCAAAGTAATTTTGTCGGAAGGTGTCGGAGCCTTGACGGAAGGTGGCGTGTCGGACCAGTGGGTTTCCTGCTGAATAAGCAGCTGGGGGTTCAAATGGCCCTCTCTTTGTAGTTTGCAAGTCACTTGTTTTATATATATATATATATATATATATATATATACTCTCTTGTTAAATATATGTTAAAATATACTCATCTATATCTATAAAAGAGGAACTATGTATGTATATACGTAAACGTTATGGACTCCGAAACCGCTCGACAGATTGTAATGGAACTTGCAGGCATTATTAAGCATTATTCAAGGATGGTTTGTGTGAAGTTTGGTGCAGACCTGTCTAAAGGGCTCCTCCCTAGAGGGTTAGAGGGTTTTAAGAGGGCCAATGTCAGACTTTTTGAACTACAATGTTTTTTTTTGTTTTTTTTAAGTGTCATGGCCGCAAGTAGCAGACATATATTGTGTGGTTGTTGCAATAAAAACGTTGGTTGTTGCAAACTCCACTATCTCATCATTTCAGTAAACTATGATATTATTATTTTAATAGAAGTTAAATCGTTAAATTGTCGTGTTGCCTCAAGGGAAGACATTAGCCACCATAGAGATGACGTCACCACACCTTTAGCCATCGTCCCTCCCGTATGCCCATTCGCATTCCCAAATCCCTCCAAACAAAACAGCTGTTACAGCACCACTTGCGACATTGCCATCTCGATCGGCGGCCGTGAATAAAGTGACTAGCTTTAGCACTAGACTGACTTGACTTCGACTTGAGTTGTGTCGTGTCGTGGTCGTCGTCGTACTCGTCCACTTAGAGATGTACCAAACGATTACTTTCCAGTACCAGATACAACCGATACTGGTACAGCTGAGTACCTGATACCGAGTAGCGAGTACTTTGTACTCGCGATTACTTTTCGACACGACTCCTACCTGTGTCTGTGTACTCGCGATTCCTATTTGAGTACTTACTTGTACCCAATTCCACAACTCAACAACTCCCGAGTACAATGTACTACCATCAATATGGATACTTTTAACAGTTTTACTAGGCCAGAGGCCTACTAACCGAGTCAATTGTATAACTAGAGAATATACTATTTGTCGGCTCTATAAAACAAAAATATGTTTTTACGAATAAGTTAAATTTATTTCTAAATCCAGGAATTGAAGTAGGCCTACGGGTTCTTTATATTATTATTAAACGTTTGTCGTTTAAACATGTAACAAATATTTTCTTTTTTGTCTGTAGTTTTAAAATCTAGAGAAGTGTGATTAGAAACTATCATCAGACTTTTAGACTGTACTCGATACTTGTAACACTGTTAGAGCAACAGTAGACAGTCTGAGTCAACACTTCGATACAAAGGAATCGTTTATTACTTGTACTCGTCTAGTACTTGTACTCGTCTGGTACTTGTACTCGTCTAGTACTACCCGTAGGGAGTACACGAGTAATCGCTAACCTCACTCGTACATCTACAAAACTAGATACTAAAAGTAATCGCGATTACTTTGTATCTGGTACTCGACACTTTCAGTATCTAGGTACTTTTGGAATCGCGAGTACCTAGTACAAAGTAGCGACTACTGATACTTCGACCCACCTCTACGTCCACTCGTCCGCAGGCTCCTGGCTGGTCAGCTGGCGCTGGCTGTTTTCTGTTTTTCCAATTCCCCAACGTCTGGCACGTGGCACGATCACGATGGCACTGGCACTTTCAATTTCAACATTTCAACATCAACACGAACACGTAATGTTTTAGAGATGGGAATTATCGTTCACTTGGTGGAGTCGTTCACTCCGGAGTTATTGAGTTGTCGGAACTAGTTCCGCGGAGTAGTTCCAACTCCGTTTAGAAGAGCGCTGAACACCGGACTATCGGAGTGAGGAGCGCTTCCATTCAGACTCACTCACTAACCATTTTGGTGCAGCGCTCATAGTTCCAGTAGTCTATCGTTCCTCTTCGCATCACCTCTGGATGATAGTTCCTGGTTCCATTCCAGTAATCGTTATTGAACAAGCGGAATGAATAATTATTAATCTAGGCTAGGATAGGACCATAGTTTTTGTTTTTAGTGTCCGGAGTGAGAAATTATGAAACAGTAGGGCAGTGAGTGAGTCGTTCCAGTCGTATTCTTGTGATGTTAGGTGTTCCGCTGCTCCCCTCTCATTAGTCGATTACTGTTCATTATAGCCTACATTCATTTTAAACAGATTTTCTAAAATTTTAAATATTTATTTACTACAACAACTTTTAATTTATTACATAATGTATCTTAACCAATGACGGTCTCTTGACTATCTTTAGTTCCGAGAGGAACTAACTCCGATCCAAGAGCCGGAGTTGGACTTGTCGTTCCGGAGTTGGAGTAGTTCTTTCGGAGTAGTTCGTTCCGGAGTTACTCACCTCTATAATGTTTACACAAACACAACAAAACGTTCTTCCATAAGTGCTACAACTGAGTTCACGCATTAATCTTTATATTTAAAAATAATAGGAAGTGCTAAAATTGATCATTAGGTTAGAAGTGGTTTTCCTGAAAGTGTTACATCATCATGGTGTTTAATTAATTTTTATTTGTTTAATTACTACTATTTCTAAACTAAAGTTAGGTTAGGACTTGGTATGCCTGAAGTTCATTTTATCACCAACTTATAAACTACATTAACACTTCATTTTAGAACCTACAAATATAATGGTTTTACAACAGTGGTTTGTCATAAAGGGTAATGAAATAAGAAGTGTGTGCCAACAAGCAAGTAATACTTGTTCATCATTAATGATGAATGATGTTAGAGTAATGAAGGCTGCATTTCTATTTGTATTCATTTTAGGCATAGTTTGTTCAGTGTTTTTAACTCTGTTCTTAGACCATTATAGGACTTCAAAGAGGTCTATAGAAGATAATAAGGTTAAAGTTTTCCTTCCTTACCCCTCAGAAAACCATATGGTAGGCCTAAACCACCCAGATAATCCGACCGAGACTCTTGAATTATCAGTGAGAAAAGCTGATGTGGAGCCTTCAGGTAAGGATCTTTTTAAGCATTTTTGGCGTACATTTGAGCAGAGAACCTGCAATATTATTGTAAGTTTAAGATCTGCTAACTTTATGTTCTACCGGCTGCACTTTAGTTTACGTCCTACACTCGTTCGAATGAATATATCGATCGATATATCGATTATTTAGTTCGATATATGAAGTTTGGTTAGTTAGGTTAACCCAACCTAACTAACCGAATGATAATTGATATAATATCTATTATTTTTCATTCGAATGAGTGTAGGACGTAAACTAAAGTGCAGCCGTTCTACCCACTATTTCAACTGTGCAAAACAGTCTGGTGGTAAGATGTATGTATCGGAGAAACGCTGGCTTATAAAGACATTTTTATTTATTTAGGCTATTTGTTTGTTTATTTAACATGAATTAACAAGTCCACTCATTATAACCTAAACATTACCTTCTATAATCTAACTTGATTTCAAAACACTTGATACAGTCACAAATCCATGTATAACCAACATGACATAGGCTACCTTCCTCACAAATAAATAAATCAGAACTGATAGCTCTGCAAATGATTTGTGGAACAATACTTTCAAAATGATTAGCCTAGTTCCGAATGAATTTATTTCATTGTGACTGGAGCTGCTATAAACAGCTTTTTGCTCTCCACTCCACATATAACTTACTGACTGATCTAAACCGCCATAATAACTCACTATCCGAACCGCTCGATGGACTTTAAATTCATAGGCCTAATCTTTTACTTCCTTTTTTGGTTAGAACTCTTTCTGACAAAAACTGATTTAATTTTTTGAGTTCAGCGTGAAAAAATGTAGCCTAAGTAAGTTAGACACATAAAATAGGCTAGTGGCCCTATATTCATCACTAGCATGTAAAGTGACTTTTCAACCCAAGCTCATGTTTAGGAAAATGAGCGAGGGTTGAAAATACATTTTTTGTCCTATTGATGAACTGAATTATATAATTATTAACAAACTAAGCTAGATGGGTAACGTAAATAATTATCAGGTAAAGATAACCTTTCAATTTGACTTGCCCACCAGCTTGTTTTCAATTCTGCTAATGAAAATAAGCAGCTGTTTAGTAAGTGATTCAATCATTTTGTCCATCACAATTGTGTTTCTGTACATTATACCATCGATATGTCGAACTTGACAAGAATGCAACAATAAGCTAAAACCTTACCAGTACCTTCTTAATAAATCAATCGATAAATAGGCCTAATTTTGATCCATGTGATTGCTAAAATCAAACCTCACAACTAACTGTTTACAACGGCTGATATTTACTCCCTAATGCTAATGGTACTTTAGACCTGCAACGCATGTACCTACAAATAAAACGGTTGTTTTTGCTGCAGTATGACGAAAATAAATTTCTATTCGGTGAAAGCAGTCTATTCAACATTTGCTAATCCGTCCATATTAATTGATAAAATCTTTACTTAGGCTATCTAATTAGTAATATTTAGCCTATTTATTTATTTATTCATATACCAACGGTCAAACCAATACATAAATATGACAAAAACTTTATAAGACTTAGGTTATAAATAGACAATTTTTGAAGCAATTTAAGCCAACTTGAAGTAATATTCAATAAATAGATTAACAATAAGTTTATGACAGCAAAAAGATATAAGATATAACAAGATTATATCTTACAGCCTATAGACTGTAATTGATCAGATTTGTTTCGATAACACATAGGCCTAATGGTACGTACGTTACATGTTTTATTATTTTTTATCTTCATACTTTAGTTAATTTATGATTGAAAGCATTGTATGATATTTTATCCATGTTTTACCTCCTGGATTGATAAAGAGTAGGTGTAATACTAATAATAGCCTAGGTTAAATACCTTTTTTACGTCTTCAATCATAGTCGTCTTTTTCCGATAACTATAGGCCTACTGTAGTTTTGGGGCAATCAGCCCCACTGTCAAATCTTCTGTCTTGTTAATTACTACAAAATGTTTCTGGAGGTGGATAAACTCCTCCTGTGGCTAATCAAGTGAAAATATACTAATGCTACATTAAACTAAATTGACCCTCAAAAGGTGGCCAGTCACAAAAACTTGTTTCTGATGAAAAAACAACTAACTTACAACATATATAACAATAAAAAGATCAAGTACATAGTGAAACTTAAGTTTAAAAATATAAACACGCTGAAAAGAAGAACTGTTAATAGACCTATATTACAATACGGTACTTACAACCTTACAGCTAAACAGAGACACAATCAAAACACTGAACTGGGATAATGGTCACAAACTTAAATAGAATGAGGCAAAAATTCTACATAGATAAACTTGCACACGAAAAAGGAAGTTCACAGAAAAAAATTACTTAGGCTAGCGTTGTGCGGACCGGTTCACTTGATAAGTCAGTGAACCGGTCCGCACAACGCTATTAATTTTTGTTTAGGCCAGCCAAAAGTATTACATTTGAAATGTTTTGTGTAAATATAAATGTTTCGTGTGACAGTGTGTGTATGTACTACATGTGGCATACAACGACCAATGCTTTTAACAGTAATTAACAAGGACAGAAGATTCCGAAACTAGTCATCGGAAAAAGACAACTAGGATTGAAGACGTAAAAAAGGTATTTATCCTAACCTATTATTAGTATGATATTTATTATAGACTATAAGCATAGACTAAGCAACACAAGTAGACTCCTCATCCCATTGTAAATTTTGAAGCTTGTTTTTTGCGTCTAGTTCATGTACGTCCACACTGATCGCTAGTGTAGACAACATTTTGTTTCTATTATTTTAGGGCTATTTTCATGATTTGTGCTTTACTATTTGATTATATAACTAAGAGACCAGTTATTGCTTATGATTATATCGTTTTATTAGGTTAAACGAGGTTTTAAATGACTGCAATAACAAGAAACAAATTGTAAACAAAACATAACCTCTATAGTTGGACGTACAGAACTAACAATAAAATTGGCTTCAGCTGTTCCATTAGGATGACTAATCTACTAAGGGAGTATGTTTTATCTATGCTATAAGTTACATATGCTATTATTCGTTAAATATTTATAAAGATTTTATGTTAATCGGGAATGTGAGCTATCATCATGCCAAATTTCAGCCCAATCCGACCAGTATTTTTTGTGTTTACTTGTCACAAACATACATACATCCATACATCCAAACTTTCTCATTTATAATATTAGTAGGATTATTGTTAGTCCACATTAGCACAGATTTTTGTTTGTTGTAAAGTTATTCTTTATTAATTAATTAGGACAAAGTCCTGTTGTATGTTTGGCTTGACCCTTACATATCTTGATAGAGAATTGTTAATGTCAAAATTCAAAATTGTAAATTGGTTTGTTTGGACCGTTGGTAGCAAATAAATAATTCACATGTTTCAGCTGATCGAATAGCGTAAATAAACATTTCAAGTAAATTACCGTACTTGCAAAATGATATAATAGATGGTTTTACAAAAAACTACTGAAAATTGAGTGATTTGTATATTTTTCCTGTGTAGTGGGTAAAAAAAAACCTTAAAATGACACCTCGTTTAGGCCTATTAAAATTGGTGAAGAGTTAATGAAGTTATGGTGTACTGAAAAAAGTAGCCTACTTGAGAAATTATAATATATATAGGCTAGGTATTTAGATGTTATTTTGTTGTACAATGGAGTTGGAAAGTTTTGCCATTGCATGGAATGCAGATTGACTTTTATCTCATTCTAAGCCTACAGTGGGATAGGATGTTTTAATTATTATTTAAGTATACAATGAAAGTGTAGTTAAAATTGAAATAAACTAGGGTCTTTAGATAAACAAAAGACAGGGCTGTCCGAAGGGGGGGGGCAACCGGGGCAAGCTGCCCTGGGCGCAGGGGCTGAGGGGGCGCCGCGCAGCGGCTATCTGTATTAACAAATCAGTATTAATAAAATCTGCGAATGCGACTATTACTGGGAGGGAGGGGGCGCCACAACCACATTTGCTCCGGGCGCCACCAACCCTAGGGACCCTGACAAAAGAGCATTTACATTGGACACAGGTTGATTTGTATTGTAGGTATTTTATGAAAGCACATTTCACAAATTACCTTATTTGACTTAAAAAATATAAAGAGAAGATATTGTACGACAGAAAAATTATGACATGCCAGGGGACTAGTTACATGAGTGCCTAAGAGTAGGCCTACTATCAAGGCCTATCGTCTCATCAGGTTGCACTATGGAGTCAGGTAAAAAGTGTATTGGTAGTATGGCATGAAACTGAAGTTATTCAAACGATTTTAGCATCGACCACAGAGGCATTAAGCTCACTTCAAGTTGCCTTGGAATTGAGAAGTTTGGGAAAGATTGATAAAGCAATGAAACTGTTGGAACATGCTTTAGCCCTTGCTCCTAACCATCCAGATATTCTCAATCACTATGGAGAAATGGTAGAAGAAGTGAACAAGGATATCATCAAGGCTGACCAGATGTATTTTCAGGTAAGCCTAATTTTTGATGATCTTACAAAATTATTATTGACAATCCTACCATTATAGTCGGTACTCAGAGAAGGGCAGCTTTCCTCTCTTTCCCCCGATGATATCAACCGTGTCGAACAACTCCAGATTGTCTGACACGCAATCCTTCCACGTCGGCCAATCTTCTGCTCCTCTCAATGGTTTAAATACCTTTCACACATTTCATTTGTAGAGGTGGAAGAACTCGATAGAAAGATATTTAAAAAAAAATACTCGTGAGACAGAAAATCACATCGGAAGAAATTTTTTTCACCATGTACGTAGTAGACTAGATTTCCCAACACTTTTCTGCACATGCTGAGGAAAACGATGCTGAGGACAATAATGTCATGAATTATTCGCAGAGTGAGGTGTTTAGAGAAAATCTAAGTTACAGTATAATTTAAACTGAATAACAAATTCAAACGATAGAACAAGCAAAAGCATTTCTCATTAACACGTTCGCTGCGGGCCACTCACCGGTGAGTTTTCTAGTTCTTTTCTGCCATAGCTCACCGGTGAATGCCAGCTTTGCCTACATTCCATTCAATTTCTGCGCAGCAGCGCACCGGGATGAACGGGTATTTTTATGTCTGTGTTTAGCTAGGAATGGGTGTTTTATTGTGGTGTAGGTTGTTAGTACATTTTCCCGTAAAATCCCCTTCTGGTAAGCTTAGATATCAACTTTTTGTCCCGTCTTTCTCCCTACAATTGGCAATACAATGGGACCGGCTAGTTCCAGACAGTGCTGCTATCTGTAAGTGTTTTAGCAATCGTCGTAACACAGCACATCACCGCACGTCATTTACTATGAATGAAAGAATGACTAAAGTGCTTTATTTTTAAATAAACATTCCTCTCATACGGTAACATAAGCATAGGCCTACACTTAACCCTTTGAGTGCTATGCGACGATATATCGGCGTTTACTAAAATATCTAAGGGATATAGAGAGGAAGGTTATTTTATCAAAAAGTAGCAAAACGGCCATTGGTAACCTGCATGTTCATAGGATACTTTAACAACCACTTAGCTAAAAGATTCGCCCAATTCGATGATTCGAGGTGTATAAACCAAGGATTATGAACACCTCACTATGCCCCAGTGGTTGTAGTATATCGCTCGCTACAAACACACAGGTCGCCAATTATTTGCCACACAGGACAGGAATTGAACCCGAACAAACAAATGTCACTGGCCAAGTGACACACGCCCTAGCACACAGCTGTCTGTGCTTGGAGACTGAGGAGTCAGAAACCGGTATTTAAGCTGAAGCCAACGATTGCGAACAGATAGCGCTACAGCAGGTTGTTCACTGCGTTACAAGGTAGCAGCACTAGTTAGTCACAGACTATTTAGAAGATATTTTTCAGTTGAACCACAATTGTGTTACTGAGTGTTTAATCTAGCGTCTTTGTTTTATGTATTAATTTTTTAATATCTGTGTTTTTAATAGTCCATGTAAAACCATCACATGACCACATCCATTGTTGCATTCAATCATCGCGAATCTCCTCTCATAACAATACGTACTCATTTTTTCTCTTAATAAATCAACCTCTTTATATACATTTTCTCGACTTTTTCCTCTCCAATATAATAACACCGCACACTGAGACTTTGCTGCAAAAAACCATTTTTCCTAAAATGGCTATATTATAATAACCTTATCAAACTAAATCAAGGTAAAATTCAATATTACATTGTAAACTAGATGTCTTTCGATTTTATGAGATTTTGCTTTCAAACAATGCTATCAGAACATTGCCTACATTTTATAAGAAAACTTGGAAATATACAACGAAAACAAAGTTGTATTTAATGTTTACTACAAATACCCAGACTTTTCTTTGTTATATATATTTGTTATTGTCTTATTATTCAAAATTAGTCTAATTAATAAAATAGTGACAACAATAGGCCTACAGTTAAAATTCAACAAAAGGTAATGGAATTAAAAGGCAAACATAAAAGTCTTACGAAAATACAAATTATTGGCATAGCATTGAACGGGTTGATTAAACAATGGTCCACGACCGTCTGTTTGGTTGGCACACCTGTTATTTTGTTTATCTAATTTTCAAAATTATTAGGTTTTAATAGGTGATTTTTTTTATGCATAAATAAGTCTATAAAAATTACTATGCATATTCAATATATAAGACAGGCTGACAAGTTTTTTGACATAAAACTGTCGCACGTCATTTATTATTCGTCAGACCGAAATATATGAAAGCCAAACGGGTTCGCTTGACGCTGCGCCGCACTGGGGCTACGCCTGACATTTGGTGGGCCCCAGTGAACGTGTTAATATTTACAAAACGTGGAACACAATTGAACCCATAAGACAGACAGCTGCTAATATAAATTAATATAATCTGTAGTATGACTATGACTAATAACGCAGGTATTTTCATAAAAGGTAGGTATTTTCAATTTTTAGTACTAAATTTCAATCAAATTTTTTTAGCCGTTTTTTTATGGGTTTTTATAGAAAAATCACCATTAAAAATTAAAATTTCCTTCTAAAAGAGCCTGAAGTTACCATGCATATATGTACCGGTACACACAAACCCACACAACCATCACTTCAAAAACCACTGTTTTTGTATTTTTTTGTACATCCACCCAAAACTCAAACTCAAAACACTTTGACAAAAACAATTCTTTCTTCATATATGGTAGAAATACTAATATAGGGGTAGAAAGTAAAAGTTATACAGTTAAAAATCTTATAACCTGTAATCAACTTATAACATGTTAGTAGTCCTAATTTTAATTAAAAAAAATTAATCATCAATAACAAATTGAATTGAAATCTCTACTGTTATTTTTCCATATCAGGATGGTTTGTTTTGTGTGAATATCTGTGACGAGGTAAATTTTTCCATACGGTAGGCCCTGATGCAGTTCCCGGAACACAGGGTGGCACGTGCCAACCGCCAGCGAGTCAAGCGAGCCGTAGAAGAGCTGGATGGTGCGGCGCTGCGCCGGATTGACAACAAACGAGACACTGTAGCTTCAATTCCAGACTCCAACCCAGCACTTCGTCGTGCCAAACGGGAAGCATATTTCCAGGTGATTTTATATAGTAAGAAATACCTTGTAACCTTAATGCAATTACATTGAGAAGTTTCTCAAATGAAATTTCTCAAAGTGTATCCTATAAAACAATCAGTCCATATTGTAGATTATTAAAATATTGAACCTTTTTAAAGAGCATGGATTGATTTTCAGAAGCCAGTAAGTGTATTTTTATTGTATCTATAAAACTTTATACAATGATCTTTATTATGTTTCCATACTTTTCTTACAGTCCTGAAAGCCAAAGGGTGACCGTAAAAGATTGGGCATTTTAAAAATAAGCATTAGGCCTACTAATTTGTTTTTGTATAAATTAATTGTAACTTTTTTTACATTGAAGTATCTGTAAGCTCTTATTATTTAAGAAACAGGCTACTCTACTTACTACAAATAGTTGGATACACTTTTCAGTTGTCTATTAGCCTACTTATGGAAAACCTTTCAGTCAGGTTCACAATGTTCACTCTCTTGCTTGCAGGTTTCAATCCTTTCCTTAAAGTCTTCCCAACAGCTCATGGCACTATTAATTGTTCCCACTTCCTTGTAATTATTGCGTCCTTCAGATCCATCGTAAATCCGGGATTGATAACCCATCTGAAAATTGTTCTTAAGATGGGAATCATTCATGGGGTCCAAGTAGGAAGTGAACTGGTAAAAGTAGCTGCGCTGCCGTGATAGACTTGTAATTTGAACACATAAACATTTATTTATCCATTCACCAATTCAAAGGCAATGCACATCCTTTGTTCTTGTAGGTTAGATGTTTGTGTCACCCTAAAGCATTCCTCCACCTTGACACACAAATGTCTTTAGGGGTTCTGCTTATCACTAACACTAATGTTTACACATACGCCCCTAGCTACTTCCACCTGTTGCTATTTTGTAACATCCCCCTGCTCAATCTGACAGACAGGCAAAGCCTAACAGCTGTGGGACGCCCAATCCTCTCCTCTTCTCAGACTTGAGTTGCGGCCTTAACCTTCTTAGGGCCAGTGCCGTACAGTCCAGCCTAAAGGGTTTGGAGGTTTACATCTGGTTTTCACAGAATCTGCATTGGATTGTCTGTGACTTTCCAATGGTTCTTAGGTGTTTCCTTTTAGGACTATGCCCGGGTTGTCATCTCACTAGCAATAAATTAAAAAAAAACAAAGCATTCTTTTACTAAATATTTGTTAGTTTTGTATTATACGAAGGCCACTTATTTTACAGCGCACGGCAGTTAGGTTGGGTTGGGTTATCATAAACATTTTTGTAGAAATTTCCTCGTTTCATTATGAATCAAACAATATCAGATGAGTCATAAACAAATATGATAACCCAACCTAACCTAACTGCCGCAGCGTGCTGTATAAGGGTGGCCTCCGTAAATACAAAAGTACCAAATTAGTATATTCCTTTAAAACAATCCAAAATATTCTAAAATTTGCAAAATAAAATGATAGAATACTATTGTTCATACTTACTAATAGAGACAATTTACTCGTGCAGCATATTTACCACACTGTTGGAATCGAAGGGAACACAATGACTCTCTCACAGACTCGGTCAATCGTGGAAACTAGAATGGCTGTTGGGGGCAAAAGTATCATGGAACATAATGAGATTTTGGGGCTCGACGCTGCCATGAAGTATATCAACTCCACGTTGATCAACAAGTAAGTTGGTGGATTAAATAAATTGAAACTTTAACAATCAAATTATCACGTAAGGAATATTAATGGGGCAGTGAAAATTTAAGAAAAACTATGCAAGTTTTTTGACACTGCATTATTATCATATTTTGTGAGAGGTTTATTTTCATTAGAAATTGAAATAGTAGTTGTAGGACCATAAAAAATACAACTAACGTTTGCGTGTACAATGGTTTTTAAAACTGCTCCAATGATTTCCTTCAAATTATTAGAAATATTTTAGTTTTAGGCTAAAAACAATATTTATTTATGATAGGCTCTGTTCTGGAAAAATTGGTTTTTTGTTCTTTAATTTAACTTTTAATGATGTTGGTCTTATGGATTGGCAAGTAGCTACAATAGTTATTTACAAAAATGTTTACAAAGGAATTGTAACATAATGCTTATAAACCATCTACAGTAGTACACCTTGCAAATTATTAAATACAGTAGGCCTACAAAAAATGTTAATTTGAATCAAAATCTTTGAGCATCTATAAAAGAGAATGTTAGTTTGTATATATATTTGGCAGTGATAAACTCAGACACCACTGGACCGATGGCCACGAAACTTGGTACATGGTGCATGGAGTTGCTTTATACGCCAACAATTTTGTGATAACTTTCAGGGCTTAGCCCTGGGACTGTCTTAATTTACTCATGTCAGGATTTTAGTTAGATTATTTACTAACAAAACATAAGAAAGTAAAATTTAAAACAGTTAATGTAAATTAACGGTGTTTTGTTCTGCTATTTAATTTTATTTGTTTATATGCAGATTTGTTTCTTGGTGCCATGTAGTTAATAATTTAGACTTTTATTTATATACTAGCTGGCCCGACAGACGTCTTAAGTAACAGAATTCTTTAGTATTAGTAAAAAACAGTTAGGCCTAACTTAATTTGAATTCCAAATACTGTAATCCTTAAAGTCATGGTTTTGTTAAAAGTTAAAGTAAAGTAATTTTAGTACTCTTTTTATGTATTTAATTAGCAGTAAGCAATTTTGAATTTAGCTCATGACTCTATTCAAGTTCATGTAATGTGAAACTATAATGAATAAAGAATGTTTTGACTTTGACTTTGACGTCGTCCTGTCCTAATGTGGTTTTATGTCAAATGCTCGTTCATTTTCAAGATGAGCTCGTTCGCATCACTCAATCACGTCCTGGTTGAAATTCGTTTGCTACGTTTACTCACCTTTAGGTTGGAGGTAGTTCGCTGCGCTCACTTGCCATCAGGTTTAGCTCGTTCGCTACGCTAACTCGCCTCCAGGTTGATGTTTGTTCGCTACGCTCACTCACCTTTTGGTTGCAAATTAGCTGTTGTCATAAGTTTTAAAAATAATAGTGCTGCACCCTGTTGGTAAACGTATTAACATTTTAATGCCATTGAACATCACATAATCAAATTTTTTAGTTGAACCAGCTGTTAAGATTCTTTAATTCCATTTAAATATAAGTACTCATAAGGTTAACATGGGAAATTCCAGAGCCACTGGGGCAGAGCCCTTTTGACGGATCTGCACCAAACTTCACACAAACCATCCTTGAATAATGCATAATAATGCCTGAAAGTTTCATTATAATCTGTCAAGCGGTTTCGGAGTCCATAACGTTCAAATATATACCCACAAACAAACTTCCTCTTTTATAAATATAGATTTTTATATTTTAAATGCAATACACTATATAAAATGCTGGTAATCTATATTATGTAAAATCCATTGTATGTCGTATGTTTGTCCTTTACCAAGCTGGCCATCCGATGTTGATGAAACTTTGAAAAGTTGCTCCATATTTGACCGGTGATGTTTGTGTTAAATAAAATTTGAAAACCCCATCAGGGCTCTGCTCCAGTAGTCTTTAAAGTTCCCATTTTACAGTATCCTTGAGGGGAAACGATTTTATACATTTGAACAGATGAATACTTTTGATTTTTCAATTATTTGTTGTCCGAAACAATCAAATCAAATGTAGGGTTTTTACAGGATTGGCAGTATCACTGTTGAAGACATTTTGGAAATTCACAAAAGAGTATTAGGTTTTGTGGATCCAGAAGAAAGTGGCATGTTTCGCCGCACACAGGTAAGATTTATTTAGGAAATTTAATTATTTTTTAACTGACTACCTCTAAGAGTTGTTTATTTAAAAACATTTTGTCATCGAAAAAAAATACTTCATCACCTCTGAAACATAAATTAATTAAATTTAATAATATACAGTATATAATATTAAAAAAGAATGGTGCAAAACTAAACAGTTGGTATGTCTGTTCCCGTAAATTCAAACAGCTGATTGTTACACCAGTGGAAATGGCGTGTTTATAAGTTTGTTTTGACAAGGTTATGTTTTATCTATGTTGCTTAGTTGTGGACTACTACGAAGTCTTTTAACAAACTTGAAAAATATTGACAAGAATCAAAACTATCATGGCAAAAATATCCGACTAAATTTAGGGAGGAGGCTCTTAATCAGAACTGCATAGCTCGTTGGATGAAGCAATTCAAGACAACTGTATGTTTATGTGGAAGAGTTTGGGCCGTCCTCAGACTCCGCCAGTCGCTGTGGACAGAATCGAAGCTACGTTTTCTTGACAGTCAAAGCTGGTAGAAAACTTCATATTCCGCAGTCCATGGTTTTACACAAGCGTTTGAGAGGTACCTGTACAAACTTCAGTTATTACAAGCTTAGACAAGCAAAAAACTGAGATTCTTTCTATGATAACTTCAATTCTTGTTGATATTCTTCGATTTTGTTAAAAGGTTTTCAAATAACTCAAATAAGCAACTGAGACAAATCATAACCTTGTCAAATCAAAGTTAAACACGTCCTGTCCATTGGTGTAACAATCAGATATTTTAAATCACAAATACCCCCGCCGCAGCAAACCTGCAGACTAAGCGAATTTCCATTTGATTTACACTGAAATGTCTACTTAAAAATATAACATTTATTCCCGATTTAAATAGAATTAGTTTAACAAGTACTTAGGTTTGCTGCATCAGGGAGGTAAAACTGTTTTTTTTTATGTTAATAGTTAGTAAGAAATAAAAACATTTTTCAAATTTGATCAAAATATGTTCATAAACAAGCAAACTACAACAGTTTACTTATTCTCCATAAGAATAACATGGGAATTTTAAATTTACAATTTTTTGGAATTTTCTCTGTAACCATTAGGCGCATAATAACGCTTCAATATACTAAATTATTTGTTTTTTTAAGCTCTACAAAATGGTTTGGAAAGAAATTGCTAAATTTTATGTTTTTTGGGTCAAAAATGCGAAAAACCTATTTTTACCCCATAAAACCCCCCGTAAACCCCCGTTCCCATGGTCCGATCATGCTGGATCGCGAACTCGTTCGAATAAACGTTGGTTTACACGTTTGTACCGAATTTCATCAAAATCGGATCATTTTTGCTCGAGTTATAGTGCTAACGGGCACATATATATATATATATATATATATATATATATATATATATATATATATATATATAAATATAAATATATAAATATATATATATATATGAATTTGAACGGATGGTGTTTTTGGTCTCTAGGGACCTCGAAACGAAAAAAAAAATCGGTCCCGCGTCCAGGTCTTACCATGAGTACTACGGTAATAGCTTATTCCCTATATGGGAAATTCGCTAAAACGGACGTACCAACTGTCAAGTTTTGCACCATTCTTTTTTTATTAACACTGTATGATTGTTGCTGAGAAATCTCATAGACAATTGCAATGATTACCAGTTTGTGTGGCTAAACATTTCCAAGCGATTGTTGACCCAATAAGTTCCAAGATACATTTTTAGCACTTTTTGACACACTATAATTGGACCCAGCTGTCTTAAGAAAAAGTAATGCTTATTATTGAATCGACTGCCTGAAGCTAGATCCACAAATTAGGACTGGGATGTACAATTGTAATCTGGATGGTGTCATTAGATTAATTTTTAAATAATTATACAGAATTCATGAAAGGTTGTGTATTTCTATGCCCTACACTTACTAATCTCATCATCAAGGGTAAGGTTATCAGTAGATAGTAACTTTTCCCTTAAGCTAAAATCTGAGATGCCAATTACTATTCTATCTCTAATCAAACTGTTTTTTAGCTGCTCAAAATTACAAGAATTAGCTTGGTTAACCAATTTTGTAAAAAAATCTTCAAAACTTTGATGGGTTTGTTGGGTGATTTTTTTGAACAAAAATCGCTTAAATAGGCCTAGGCCTACTTCATTAGATTTACCAACAAAAAACTCATCAAATCGTTGAACAACTTCATCTAATTCAATATCTTCACCATCAATAAAACCAAAACTGTTTTATATATCTATAACATCTGGGCCTAAACTAGACATAAATGATGCTACCTGTACTGCATTTGATTTCCTATCAAGGCCAGAAGCTGTGTAGTACCAGTTCCACTGTTGCTTCCATTTCTTCCAAGAAGGAGCCATCTGAGTACTTGAAACCACAAGAAATTTGGGTGGTTTTACATTATTATCCTTGTCTTCTGTATGGATATCATCATCTTCCTTAAAGTCATACCTTTTATTTCTATTCCGTGTGGGTTTCGGCACCATGTCATTAGATTAATTATTAAATAATTATACAGAATTCATGGAAGGTTGTGTATTTCTATTTTAACGAAAACTTAATCAAAATATCAAACAATAACACAAAACATATGTTGAACAATTACCATATGTTATTAATATATTAACTACTACTGTCAGATGGTAGCTCACTTTCCCGGTTCTCCTAACCAATATTATTTCCACATCTGGACACATTGAGCGCGTTCTGGGAACATGCACCAGTGCAGATTTACCGGTGACTCGGTACCGCCACGGGGCAAGAGTCTTGGTATCCCAGAACGGTTAGTCACCGGTTTACGGTACACATCGGATTATAATTTACACATCCACCTACTATTTACTGTATAATATTTAAATCAAACAATCTTACACTCACAGAATAAATTATTTGAAAATTATTCATTTATTACGTAATATAACCCCCTCATAGAATAAATTATTCACTCATTACGTAATATAACCTATAAAACTGATTAACATTATTTGATGGACCCGCCATCTTGCCGTAGCTGCATACTGTTGTCCAAGAAACTGACCAATCAGAAGCTGCCGGTGTATTATGCACCGTACAATTTCTCCCGTGCATAAATCTTGCACCGGTGGAGGAAAAAGAGGAAATAGCTGTCTGCTAGGTTAACTCACTGGTCTCCCAGAACGACACTTTTTTTGCACCGGTGCGGCACCGGTGCATGTTCCCAGAACACGCTCAATGTCAATATCTCCTATTAACTGTGTCCCCTGCTCCATAGGTTTATGTCGGAGGTCACATTCCCCCGCGGCCCCGACACATTCCCCCGCTCATGGAACAGTTTGTAGAATGGCTCAACTCAGATGCAGCATTGCGTCTACACCCTGTACAGTACGCCGCACTGGCCCACTACAAGATGGTACACATTCACCCGTTCAACGACGGCAACGGTCGCACCTCTCGCCTGCTGATGAACCTTATTCTGATGCAGGCGGGCTTCCCTCCAGTTATTGTACTCAAGCAGAACCGTCATAGGTAAGTACTGTATACATTTATGCATGTAGCTGAGTGGTATTAGGATTCGCATAAAAATCATAGGGTCGTCGGGCTAGTCCTGAGAAAGGACTGTAGGTGAAAATATTTATTTATGATTCCTTGTACTAGTAGATTAGATTATTATGACAGTGAAACATCAGTGTGTGTCTTGACTCTTGAGGGATGTTGATGGAAAGATGAGTGTTGATTGGATGAAGAGAGTTTTGTTACTGAATAAAATGAGTTGGTTCTTTAGCCAGGATATTTATTTAATGAAATCCTAACGAACAATGATAGCTGGTTGCACTTTTAGAATTATCAAAAACTAAAGACTTTTCAGGATCAAATCGCTATCCTTCTGATTACCAGGGAAGCACTATAGCTATATTAATGTACGCTTTAAGTGACTGCTTTAGAGTAAATGGCCTCTCCTTGAACATGGACAAGACTCAAGTAGAATGTCATATGGAATACTTGTCTGGGGAAATTCTTGCCATGGTAAGATGAATTTTAGGCTTCAAAAGGAGGCACTAAGGATAAAGTACCCCGAAGAAGTCCAAGCAAAATCAACTTTCAGGCTTTTAGCGTTTTGACATTTTATGACCTGTATATTTTAGAAGCATTATTTTGGGTATTCAACCATTTGACCATTTTCAGGGAGGGTCACACAAACCATAGGTATAACACTAGACATAAGAACCTAATTAAGCCCACTAGCCATAAATTATCACTATTTGAAGCATCACCTCAATTTATTGGACCAAAATTGTATAACTTGATTCCTGATAATTAAAAAAAACATCGCAAATCAAAAAATGTAAAGACAAAAATGTAATTACTAACAAAAACATTTTATTCTTTAAATGAATTTTTAAGTGGAAATTGGGCGGGTTAAGTGTTGAAATTATTTTATTTGGATTTTTTACTATTTAGATTTAAGTATTATAATGCATTGATTGACAAATGTCCTGTCATTTAATGATGTAATGGCATTATGTAAATAAATAAAAAAATAAATACTAATGGCATTTCAGGGGGAAAAAATTAGGCTACTCTGACGTATAAGATCGCTAATTGGCTTCAAAGTTATTATAGGGTTTCCATCAGACCAGGTCTTAAGTGAAAGATGTCCTGCTATGAGGAGTGTTCATGTTAGGTTAGAGACAATCACAGCTGGCAAGTTGAGTGGGAATACTATACAGATCTAGAAATCCAAGGGTCGCTAGTCCGATCCTGGAACAGTCACTATTCTTGAGCTTTTAATTTGGCCCTGGCTATGACATTACTGATCCTAGTTACAATGCTACGTTGCTTGGTTCTGTTCTTAACCCACCCTACAGGCAAATTTAGCTCTAAATATTTTCACAAGTCTAGTGTGTGTTAGTGTCTTGATGAAATTATTTACATTATTGAAATTGCATTAAACTACAGTCAAAAAATAATTTAACAAACTGGAGGGACTGAACAAGAAATTTGTTGTTTGGATGAATATTTATTGAGTGTAGATGAGCTGTTTTTATCGAGGTGGATTTATTTTTCTGGGGTTTTATAGTATTAGCTTGGTTACATTATGCAAAATTAGCTTGTTTACATTGTGGTTTCTAATCTATCTGAGCTTCTGTTATTTTAAAGATCATGGTGATTGCAAAATTTGTGATATAGGTTTCTTTTTCAAAGATTCTGGGCCGGTTTCAAATGTATGAAATTAGACCCCTTCAAACCAGAGGGATTAAAAATCATTGTTTTCAATTTTTTTTCTTAGTTTCAAATATCATTAAAATATTTCAGGTATTACAAGATGCTGGAACTAGCCAATGGAGGAGACGTGAGACCATTTATTCGTTTCATCGCAGAAAGCACGGAACAGACTCTCGACTTGTTCCTTTGGGCCACGGAAGAATATTCTTCTGACATTCCTGCTATTGAATCTTCAGCAAAAACCATTATTGTCGAAGAGTAAAGTATTGTGATAAGCCTAGTAAGTATTATTCTTAAAAATATTGTTTTGTTCATTAAAAGTTTATTTTTCTTTGTTAGCAAGTGTTTAGTTTATTTTTTCTGAAAACAGCTTTCCAAATCAACGTGTAGTTGAATTTTGAGAATAAGTTAATTAGGAAAGAATGTTTTATTACTTTCTCTCTTCAGTTATGTTTTACAATAAACATGAACCTCTAAGGACAATTTGCAATTGACAAGTATTTGTAATTTGTTTTCTTCATATGCAATTTATAAGGATGTAAATTATTTGTGGCTCAGTTACTTATACTCTGCTAGAGAATGTTCCTTTCTTTTGACATTTTGTATAGCTCAAGACTACCTGGTCTTTGAATGAAACAGGCCTGTGCATGCAGGGATATTTTGGCTAAAAGGCTCATGTGTTTATTGAGTATGTTTTCCTTGTGTTAAACTTATCATGTTAAACATACTAGGTTAAATGTAGTCAAATTGTTATTACATTAGTTCATTTTGAAAAAGGTGCTTGAACAGTAGTTTTCTACTAACATAAACTTAATTGAATGGAATTAAACTGGTCTGTTTCGCCATAGACAAATAGAATAAATATAGACTATCAGCAGTGCTGCGGTTAGCATATGTTCCGGCACCTACCACTAGGAGTGCCGTGTAGTTACGGGGCACATCACTGTAGCATCTGATGGTAGCCTACGGCTCCTGCGCTGTGCTCCTCGCGGTGTGCCCTGTAACTACACGGCACTCCTAGCAGTGGACACCGCAACCTTTCTTTGAAATTCTATATTTATTATAATTGTCTATAGTTTCGCACAATATATATTGCACAAAGTTTTTTTTAATACTGAATTGTTTTCAGTAGCCAGTGTAATCCATCACATGTTGATTTTTGTTTGAAAGGAAATTTTAACTGCTTAAAATATTTAAGATAGTACTCGTATGTGATAAATTTATTCCCACCTTTTATGTACGTTTTGGACTATTATAGCCAAAACTTGAATTTACAAATAGTAATTAAGTAACTTGTGTCAATATGAAGTAAATGTAGCTCTTATTATGTTTAAAGGTTATGTCTATTACAGCACAACTAACATAAGAGTAAAATCCCAACATTAAACTAGATATTATACTATGGAATTCCTAATTTCTTTTGCTAAAAAGTGTTTAGGTCTGCTAAACTAGGCTGTACTTTAAGCCAAAATCAGCATTACACTTTTTGGGTGTATAAAATAGTATATTTCATCACTAGGGCCTAAAGTGATTCTTTTTAACCAGAGGTCAAGTTGTACATGTGGTGAACTATATTTTTGTCATATTGTATCATTAATTAACAAACTAAACTAGAAATGGAAATAAGATAACCTCTCAAAACAGCTTCCAGCTTGTTTTCAATTCTGCTAAAAATAAGCAGCTGTTCAGTAAGTGATTTAATCATTTAGTTTATTACGATTGTGTTACAGTCATTGATATGTCGAGCGAACGACAACAATATACTAAAACCATTTAAAACAATTAATAAGTCAATCGATAATACTGTAATTTCAATCGATACGATTGCACTATCAAAATTTCCCTAGGGAGTAAAAATGCTTAGACCTGCAATGCACGTATAAAAAAACTGCTGTTTTTGCTGCGGTATGGGGAAAAAGATTTTAGTAAGTAAATCACTATACATGCACTACATTGTTTATTTAGATTATATTTCAATAAAAAGTCATATGACTGATTTAGGATTGTTTTTGCAAAGGGTTAAAGCTTGGTTAGGCTATAACCGGTCATAGTGTTGTAATTGTATTTCAAATCGAATCTAGTCTTGTCATATTTCATAACCCTGATATGTTATCTTATTTAAGGACTTCTGCTGGAGGAGTTCTCACCTATACTGTTTACTGTTCGAAAATGTCCCATATATGGACCGAATTCTAGGGTTATGTTGTGTGATTTTTGTATGAATCTATTTAAAAGGCCTATACTCTGATTTTCTCAGGTATGCTAGCTGAAACTTTAAACCCTTTTAAGGTCTTACATAGTTTATTTGATTTTTAAGGTGATATGACGGCCTTATAATTTGTTTGACTGGGACGGGTGGCGTCGTCCTGCAATCCAGCTAGTAGGAGGTTACGAATTGTGGATATTTATAGGCATGCACTGTGGATGCGATACTCCACAGTGGTTCGGATTCCACTATAAACTGTAGGTCCCTTAGTTGCCATTAGCTGTATGGGCTATTAATTAACTAGCCTATTAATTAACTATTAATTAAAAAGCTGTGTCTAAGGAATATGTAGGCCTCAGTCACTAACAAGACTACAAGATCGCGCCACTCATTCTACACTCATCTCCATTCATACTTGGCTTAAAATACCTACTTTGTATGGTCGCCATTTCATTGAAAAAGTATTAAAAAGTATTCATGTAAAAAAAAATATACTGTTTTATAAATAAAAAAAAAAATGGTTATTAAGAAAGTGTTTGCCAATTTATAGTTCAAATTAAATTACTAAAAGTTAATTAGGCAGCTCTGTTCAAAATGAATTTTTAATATTAAGCATAGCACATCAATTTAGGATAAAGTAAAAGTATGAAATAGAGTTTATAGTTCAGTTTATGAATTCTTACTTTCTCTGATTGTTACTGTAGTATGAGTTATTTGATAACAATTTTATGTTTATTTCTATGAAACAGTTCCTAGCGATGCTTATTATTTCTTTAGGCTTAATCCTTCTCCTTACTGTGATAAATTATAATGTAAATAAATAATGTTAAATGATCAGGATCCACAACTGCAATTCGTCATACAAATTTCTGGAAATATTTACTCCTACCTATATTAAAAAGTACTTAAATAAATAGTACATGTAATCACTAGAACCTAAAAGTAATCTGCTTGACCTAAGCTTAAGTGTACCGACCCGAAGCACTGAAAATTGTGAGAGAGTCGTAAAACACTTTTTTAAACTATATTTTTAGTAGTGATGTGTCAAAACCAAATCTCAAATCTCAAAACCATCAAAACTTGGGAAAAGTTTCGGTTTCGAGATTCGATCACCGAGTTTTGAGATTCAAAAGTTTCGAAATTGAAGATTTTTGCAGTGTTTTTTGAAACTGCTGAAATTATTTGTTGTCTTTATTATTTTTTTAACCCTCCGAGTGTTATTTGTCGCTGCAGTGACACATAACACACTTTGTGTAGTGTTTTGTGTCGCTGCAGCGACTCACAAACACTGTTTACGGCGAAGGCTCTATGACTGACAAAATCGGATTGAACTGGATCGAGTTAGGTATCGTTCTTTTCGTTAGATTCTAAGCTTTCTCCAGAGGTCTGTCTCTAAGCGCTTTATGTTCTCCGAGCCGATCGTAATTGTAGCAGACAGCTGACGTGCGTATTTGTAAACAGCTAGTTTACCCTCGGACCACTGAGGTAAAATTATAACAGGAGGTAGCACCGCCATGGCAGAAGTCTGTCAAAAGCGTGTCGCTGATTTTGTTAGGTTGGTATAGCAGCGAGTTTTCTTATCATAGCAATAACATGGCTTCTATAACTAGGTTGGTATAGCAGTGAGTTTTCTTATCCAATAACATGGCTTCTTTTCAACCCTCCGAGTGTCATGCGTCGCTGCAGCGACTCACGAACACTGTTTATGGCAAAGGCTCTATGACTGACTGAATCGGATTGAACTGGATCGAGTTAGGTATCGTTCTTTTCGTTAAATTATAAGCTTTCTCCAGAGGTCTGTCTCAGCGCTGTATGTTCTCCGAGCCGATCGTAATTGTAGCAGACAGCTGACGTGCGTAATTGTAAACAGCTTGGTTATCCTCGGACCGATGACTGATGTGTTTTATTACGTTTATCATTGTTTTAGTGTTAAAAATCAAAAGTAGTGATATACGTGGTGCATTATAAGAAGATTTAAGTGATTTTGAAGGGCTGGTTGATGATCCTGAAGAAGTAGGTAGTGATATTGATGTAAATTATCAGCCAGATTCCTAGCTATGGTTAGGCTATGCATTCTTAGCTAAACGCAATGTACTGAAATCTGTTTTTCACTCATAACTTATTTATTTGATAACTTACCTCACTATATGATTATATATTTGTAATCCTCATAAAACTTAGAACAAAGTGGCTATTTTCAAATATTTATAGGCCTATAATTTATACAAGTTCATTGAGCGCAAACTTATTTTTTTTTTGAAAATTTTCCAAAATATTTTTTTTTACCTAAAAAATTTTTTAAAACAAATGTTTCTTATGTTTTATATATAAAATTTAAGCCCATGATTTTCCAAACAAAATGGTATATAGAACAGTATAATTAACATTGTTTTTAAGCTTCTCAGATCCGTTTTAATAAAACCTTGCAAATGAGCTAAAAATAGGCAGACATTAAGGCCAAAACAAGGGACACTCGGAGGGTTAACTCACACCTCACGCAAACATGGCGGGTGGCGACACGCATCTTTGACATTCAGTGCTACCTCCAGTTAGATAAGTAAGCTCCCGAAATTAATGTCATCTTGTTATGTGATTTGAAAAACTGTGCCTAAGCTGGAAATTTGTATGGCTATGCAAAAGAATATCTTGATAAGAATGTAAATCACATGTATTATAATGTTATAGGTAAAGTAGTTATTTATCATATAATTCTCAATTATTTGTTGATGACAGTGTTGTTATAGTACCGGTACTCAAAAATGCATCTTCAAATATATCTTAAAGTTGGAAGTGAGACTAAGAAGAAGTCTTGAAATGCACTTAAAAGTGCAAAAGCCAGAAAAATAATTGTATCAGTTGTAGTAAACAATTATAAACATTTCAGTAAATTTTGTTTTTATTGCTTAGTAATGACTTCTGTAGAGAATTCTTAGATTGTTTCTGAAAATATATCATACGATATTCTATTTAAATTTTTAAATTATTTTAATAATGTAATAGTTTTGATTTACCTTTGCTCTAGAAGATGTAACAGCTGTTTTATTTTTATTCAGTGTTAAGTTATCCCCAACCCAAAGATGTAAAATATGAAGTTTTTCCAATATTTTTTGTAAGTTTCTAACTACCTGAAAGTATAATCATAGACTAAACAACACAAGTAATGTTTTATGGTTTAATCTATGGTATAATCCATAACTAATATTGAAGACAATTCCGTAGTCAATGGTAGCGCATATCATATATCCAAAGTTATATGGAATCTGATATTTTTCACATAACATGACCAAATAAATTTATTGTTATTTTTAAAGTTGCCTTTATAACCCTTGGTATCTGTTTCTTAACATTTTATTTTATTATTGTTTTGAACTAATGTCTGATGCCATTTGTCATTGGACTATCAATTAATGGTGCCATTAAACTAAATGTCATCTATATAGATAAAATTACAGTTTTGTCTGTACATTGCTTAGAATCGTGCAGTTTTTGGTTATTTTTACGTTTCATAGCCTAAGAAAGCCGAAACGAGTCTTATCTCAATTTCTGTCTGTATGTCTGCCGAAACGAGTCTTATCTCAATTTCTGTCTGTATGTCTGTTGGTTTGTCCATTCTGTGGTTCCGTCTATGACGCCCAAATGTAATTTTACGCGGCCTACTCCTAGAAAACTAAGAGTACCGATCAAGATTCTA